CCACGGTTGTTGAACAAGGGAGATCGGCGGTGCGTGAGCACGGTAGCAAGAAACAAACAAAAACACACACAGAAACCCATACATTTTGCGGAGAACGAGTGCAGTGCCCTTTAAATGGATTGATTGCGCAGTTCACGGTACGCGCACGTGTGCAGTGCGCGCGTAGCGAAGCGCGCCCCATCCACGCGGACACCACGCTCACGCGAACCACACAACTCGGCACGAATCCGTCAATACACACCGTCCTAAAAATTGACAAATATTTATATAAAATAAGTGACGTTTAGGGCACAATGGCCCTTCTTCGGAATAAGAATGTTTATTTATACTGCAGGAGGAATCCGATGAGCTATAAAGCTCTTTTTCACAGATGTTCAGTCGGGGCAGGTAAGAGCATTACAACAACAAACAGTACAAACACACGATAATAGTGCAAAGTACAAGCAAGGTAAACAAATCACACAAACACATACAGATACAACTAAACCATCCCCCTCCTCCAAGACAATGCCCACTGAGGTGTTAACTTATTTTTACAAAGCGACCTGGCCACAAATGATAGCTCCACAAAGTGGCTTATCATGGGGACATTTCTAAGAACAAAACAATCTAAATAGTCTAAACGCATGTTTCTAAATGTGTTGAAGGGCCATGTCCCGAATCATCGCCTGTCATACATATATATGTTTTACCATTTTAAAGGCCACAGTGTTATTGACGAATGTAGTTTGTTTTGTTAATTGTGCTTGTGCACCACTCTCCACACAGCGTCGCCAAATGATTCGCACGGCCCACATCACCACGCTCGCAAGGGCACAATGCCAGCGCTCCTTTGCACGAGACGGATATCTGCCACTCGCATGGTTATCACGTATATTGTAACGTGCAGAACATAATGCAACGAATGTAACGGATCACATGTTAAACATTACACATTGGCTATTGTACGGCGTGACTAGTGAATTCACTTGAACCATGCAGAACCAGAAGCGAGCCTCCTGGTTGAAATGTTACGGGTCTTTGGAGATGGAGACCTGGGGAAAATCGACGGAAGAATCCTGTGGCGAAAAAAATAAACACAACACAATGTAACCGAAAACCGAAATCAAACAAAAGGAGCCCGCAAACCCGGTGCCATTCGCGATAATAAAGAGTTGGCGCCGAACTTGTGCAGCCTGGTAACAGGAGTGCGATTTGGATTAGACGTGCATGGGCGCCACGTTGGCTAGGAGATGTTAACTACCTCGCCTGGTATACAGGGAGGTCGTGGGTTCGGTCCCAGGCCCTGACGATGCCTGCTGTATATTTGGAGTATGCATGTTCTCCCCCGTAGTCGCTTGGGCTTTTCTCCGGGTCCTCCAGTTTTCCCTCCACATTTAGAATCAGCATCACGCGTTTAGAGTATTTGGCTGCTATAATAGTCCACATGATAAGCAACTTCGTTGAGCTATAATTAAAAATCGACATTCATATACAGTCTACTCTTGGTCTTAAGCCTCACCTTACCATATTAATAAAAAAAAGTGTGCCGTTCCTGGCCCTTCCCCCCTCAACCATTATATATACGGGGTAGTATTTCTTGTGATCTCTCATTTACTTGATACAGCTGTCGTGGCTGTGACGGTTCCACCTGAAGACGGAGGCTTGTGTTGCTTCCGAAACGTCGTGATTTTTTAAATTAGTTTAATTTAATTTTTATTAATTTAAAATGTTTTACCTACGTGACTTTAAAGCTCAGTGTGCCTCACCTGGTAAAATAAAAAAAATACTTTAGTTTTTGTACACTGGAATGTTTTTTTTTATCACGCTACTAAAATTAATGCTGACTTGGCTTCTTTTCACCCCAACAATAACTCTGTTGTTGTTAGTGGATGCCGCGAGCCGTTACCACCGAAACTAGGCGGTGAACTGGCTAAACGGGATTTACCGTGTAACAAATACATACTGCATGAAGTTAAAACGACGCCGGAAGAAGACATTCGTAAGACGTTTAATAAAAAATCAAAATAAATAGCGACACCAAATAGTTGAGAGGAACGAATACAAAAGACTCACATACGCTTAATTTAAAATGTAACTTTTCCATCTGTGCCCCTATTAGTGCAATTGTCTCGTCAAATATTCTTAAAATCTTAGAGGATGTAAAAAAAAACCTCACGACACATATTGTCTTCCCATTTTATCACGTAGACATTTTCAAATTACTTTCAATGTTCCGAGTATACAAGATTGTGAGAATAATATGAAAATGACAGCAGTCAGTTATTTTTCCGTTGCAAAACAAAGACTTCTAATATATATACACACATCTTATATAGATAAATCACAGCCCTTTCTCAATCCACTGCTGCATGTCCCCCCCCCATGCAGTGTCGGTCATGGGGAATTGATTGACCAAACTTCGCCACGCTGGCCATTGCGGTTTGAAGGTTGTCCCCCGTCTAGGATCACTACACTTATACGTTGTTTTGCGAACAGCAGCTAGAAGTTCTAGATTTGAAGCTTTCGTGACTGCAAGGATTCATATTCTTAGGTTTTTTCGGTAAAGTCACGTATGCAAAAAATTAAAATTAATATACAAGGTCGGATCTCTTGGAATTTCTCATTTTCTTGATACAGCAAGCGTGCTGTGACGGTTCCACCTGAAGACGGAAGCTTGTGATGCCTCCGAAATGTCGTGATTTTTATTGTATTTTTATTTTACTTTTATTAATTATAATTGTATTTTTTTACCTACGTGACTTTACGGAAAAAACTAAGGATAAGCAGCTAGAAGGCCCGAAACACGAGCGTGTGTAGCTGGTTATTGCTATTTTCACCCCATTCTTGTCTTAAAACACGCCGATGCCTCCATCGCCAGCGATGGGATGCATGCCCAAGCCGCTCAGGTACGGCCGTTTTTTAGAAGCCCAGTCAGCATTAATGCCCACAGACAATGAACGGGGCCTGCTGTCCAGTTGGTCGAGGTGACGGTTCGCGTCTGTACGCTTCATTTAGAAATGCGACAGCGATTCATCCCCAGGCAGTAAGTTCGGTTCTATAGATTCATCGCCAAAGTCGCGCCGGACATCATCCCCTGATGACGATTGCTTGTATTGCGATCGAAACTTCGTGATATATTTTTTTTCTTTTTATTCACTTGATTTGTATTATTGTATTGTTATTATTTTTTCTATCTACGTGACTTTACCGAAAGAACCATATAATATGAATTCCTGCAGTCACGAAAGTTTTAAGTAAAAAATTGAACATCATCAAGCTGATGCAAAGTTCACCGCCATCTGCGTTGTTGCACGAGGGCGCTGGAATTTTGTAAAAAAAAATTTTATAGCCGCGCACATTTCAAAGCAGCGGCGATTCTCAGCCACGGATGACATCGTGAACTGATCCTTCGGCTCTCTACCGCCCCCCTCCTCCCTTCCCAACCCGCAATGATCATCGTGGGGGATATATTTGGTCAAAGATTGCGCACGACCGCCACGGCCGGCGAGGAAGTCTTTCTTCATCGAGAAGTACATTGACAAAGGTTGGCACATTATGATTGGTGTACTCGATGACATGGGCATGTGTAGACACAACAACCACATACGCCTTATCATTACCGTGCGTGTTGGCTATGCACACACCATATATATAGAATATACTACACAACCCAGATAGCTAGCATCGATTTTAACATTTGCTAATAAACCAATTAGGGCTCATTTGGTAGAGACGCAGCCACGCACACGCACAAAGACAAGCTGTATAGGCTTGGACATACTTTTGGGGCAAGCGCTGTTCGCGAACACGTGAAAACCGGAGCGAGTGGGTGGCCAGCACCACGCCCGACCGCCTTTGTCTCCCAAGTAGCGATGTTTACACACCGCAGCAGATACTTATTTGAGACCGAGTCGATCTAGGGGGAGACCCAGGACCGGTTCCAATAATCGTTGCAGCGGGCTAACCGCTACACAACCACTCCCCCCCCCCACACACACACAGGTACGCATATAAACCAATCACACAGAGACACACAAAGGCACAAGTGACACACAGACACACACAAGCGGCCGTATGTGTTCTCTCTTCAGCCGGAGCGCCACGTCTGCTTTGAATATTACTCTCTGCAAGTCACGGCCCACTTTGCACACCTCATTCATCACAATTATTATATTATTCACGGCTGATTTGGGCAGCGTGGGCAGCGTGGATTCACCGCCACACTCCACGCGGCAACGCCGCTTGAACTCATCGCCCATCCCCGTCTCAAATGGCTACATAGTCCCCGGACCTGAACAGAGTTCTGTTAGTGAGCGCCTATTAATGAACGAGTGAATGGAAGTCGACACAGGACGCGGATTGGGTTGCTGCACCCAGAGCCACCACGCACGCCAGGCCACGTTGGTTCATCATGCAGCACGCTTGCAACAAGTGTTAGTTTTCGGCCGACTTGACCTAGACGAGGCCCAGTGGAACTTTAGATAGACAATGATAACGATTGCATGGTTCAGTAGACGAACGTGGTGGAAAAAAACGGAGTTGATAGCTTCGTGCTTTAACCGCTTTGCCACAGGTCTTCGCACATGTACACGTGCACACACATCACACGCGCATACACCTGCATACGTAACACGCACACACTACACACATACAAACACATACGACACACACAGTACGCATGCCATACACATCGCACTCATCCCACACGCACAAGGAACCCTGCATAGGCTTTTGTGGCTGTGAGCGAGGACCCATCACACAGATAAAAACACAAACGTAGCCTGAACGGACTGTCGGGGCAAGTGCTGTCAGCGAGCACCTATGAAGGCCGACGCGGCACACGAGGGGGTGGGTGGCCAGCACCACGCCCGGCCGCCTTTGTCTCCCGAGTGGCGATGTTTACTACACATCGCACCAGGTTACTCATTTGAGGCTGAGTCGACCTAGGGGAGTCCCAGGACCGGTTCAGAGAATCGTCACTGGTGTTGTTGGCCGTGAGCGGGACTCGAACTCGGGTCGCCGGGTTTCGTAGCGCAGCGCGGCGCTGACCGCTACGACACGACCCGCTCCCCGCGCATCGAGCACACGAAGTTATTTACCGGGGCTATCTCGGCGGCCCAATGAAAGGCAGCGGAGTGGCGGTGTCCAAACAAACCCCCGAATGGGCACCGCAGCCAATGGCTGCGTGGTTCGAGTCGAGGAGGGGAGGTTACCGCAGATAAACGGAGCCGAGCCGTGCCCTGCGGCGGCGAGGAAAAGACCAAAACTTCCCAGCGGGACGTGGGCTTTTGATGAACGACGGCCTCGGCGTGAGAGCGGCGCACGGAGCGTGGAGTTCGCCCTCCTATAAACACGAATCGACAGCGCGATCCGCGCATCCATTCACGCCGAGCGCGCAACGGAGGCGGCGCGGATCGGGTGTGTGCGCCGCGCCCATCAGAGCACACTCACAAACTCTCTCACTCACTCACACACTCACTCACTCACACACTCTCTCACTCACACACTCACTCACACACTCTCTCACTCACACACTCTCTCACTCACTCACACACTCACTCACTCACACACCCTCTCACTCACTCACACATTCTCTCTCTCACACACTCTCACACTCACACACTCACTCACACACTCACTCACTCACACACTCACTCACTCACACACTCTCTCACTCACACACACACTCACTCACACACTCTCTCACTCACTCACACACTCTTTCACTCACACACACACTCTCTCACTCACTCACACATTATCTTACTCACTCACACACTCACTCACACACTCTCTCACTCACTCACAAACTATCTCATTCACTCACTCACACACTCTCTCACACACTCTCTCACTCACACACTCTCTCACTCACACACTCACACACTCTCTCACTCACACAATCTCTCACTCACACACTCACACACTCTCACACTCACACACTCTCTCACTCACACACTCACTCACACACTCTCTCACTCACACACTCACTCACACACTCTCTCACTCACACACTCACACACTCTCTCACTCACACACTCTCTCACTCACACACTCACACACTCACACAATATCTCACTCACACACTCACACACTCTCTCACTCACACACTCACACAATCTCTCACTCACACACTCACACACTCTCTCACTCACACACTCTCTCACTCACACACTCTCACACACTCACTCACTCACACACTCACACACTCTCTCACACATACACCCTCTTTTACGCACTCTTTCAGTTGCTGCACTCACCCTCTCACATACACGCGCTCTTACTCTTTCCCACGATCACACATTGACACACACAGTCGCGTTCTCTCACACGCAGCTCTCACACTTGCACTCCCCACGTGCAGTAAGTAGATTGAAAGTCGGGCTCGCGGCGCCACGATGCAACGGCCTCCCGGCATGGTGACCGCCTTCAGCATCGAGTCTCTGATCGGAGGAGCCCCCCCGCCGCGCTGCGGGCAGATCCTCTACACGGGTTATCCTGGCCTCTTCATGCCGCCCTACGGATCCCTCGTGCTGCCGGCACACGGACAGCTCCACGCGGGGCTCCCCGCCGCATTCCCCGCGGCTCTGGGCGGCGGAGCCGGAGGTGGCTTCTATTCGGCGTTTGCGCGCGGGATTCAGCACGGGGCTGCGGGAGCAGTCGCCTTTTGCGGCAACAAGGAGGCGCCTTCGCCGGGCGGGGAGCGGGTCCCAACGTACCCGGCTCGCTCCGAGGCTCTATCCGGCAGGGAGCGGCTCCCGGCTCTCACGCTCCTGCACTGCTCCAAGACGTCGCTGTTATCCTCGCCAGCAGGTCTGTGGCTGTGAGCAGGGGGGCATAGGCAGACGGTGTTTTGGCTGCTTGAGCGCAGGACGCGCGCACGTGTTGTGGTTGTGCAATGTCACGGGGCTATGGACTTTTGTGTGTGTGTGTGCGTGTGTCCGTGCGAGTTCTGGCGTAGCTGAGCGCTGCTGCGGATTATGCCTCACAGCTTATTAATGATCTTAACGCCGTCCAATTATGAGCGACTTAAATCATCGCGTGTCGTAAACTTAAGCGGTTGCGCGCGTATGCCATGTAATTGCGAGCGCGATATGGGGGGGGGGGGGCATCAGCTACAGGACGTTATTGCATGTGGTTTCTCTCGGTGCGGTAATTATGTGATTAGCTCTGCCTATCACGCTTGAATAGCGAAATGAATGCGCGCGCGCGCGCGCGGATTGTGCTGCCTGATAAAAGTCGGAAACCGCAATAGCACTTTATACGTCATCGTTAAAACTTCATTAACCTAGGAAGAAGCACAATGAGACAGGTGTTAATTTTTTTTTTATAATGATCATCGTCAGGAGCGGCTAAACTATGGCTGCATGAAATGGAATAAACACAGAAAAGCCGCGCACACGATCTGTGCAAGAAAATAATCCTCTGTACATTCGATTTTACTAGACTCGCGGTTCGTCACGTGTCTCGCGGCCAAATCAGTGCACACTTTATTGAACCAAGTCTCACGCTGCTACATCACAACACAATGCACCGCACCTGTAATCTTTTCGTTCTTTGCCTATCCGAGCATCCCCGGCCGAGGTGGCAGCGAACAATATATTCTCCAATTACAAAACCACGGCTGGTCAAATGGTGAAGGGTTTACGTGTGCACGTGTCTTGTTGACGAAATGCGTTGATGTGGGTGGAGTGGTGGCGCAGTGGTTTGCGCACTATCCTGTGAACCCGGCGGCCTAGGTTTAATTGCCGGTCGCGGCTAACACGAGTGGCGAGGGAACATCTGAACCGACCTTGAACACGCCTTCGTCAAGGAGCACTGACTAGCGTGTGGCCAAGTGTGGCCAAACAACACGATATTGAGTAACGCGGCCTGATCCAGATAACTGTAGATACATCAGAGAAGATCACTCCAGTATAGGTCACTGCCACGTGGATCGTTTTTGGCCGCACAAAGTTGCCTTTATGGGTGTGATTTCATACAGGGCAGCCTCCTGTACGTTAATAATGTGGTACAGCAGCCACTCTGACTGGACCGTTTGTGTTCACAGTCACCGAGAGCGTGCGGCGAATGCCGTGCCTAGACATAAAGTTCAAGCGTTCAAGCGGTGCCCATCTCCCGTTTGCCCTGAGCCCAGGTGTGGAAACGCCACATTTCTATGACGAGGGCTAGTATTCCCGTAGGACAACCAATGTTAACTTCTCCACAATGTTGGCGCACAACCCATGCCGACGTAACGTGCGCGGCGTGGCCGGGGTGTCATCACCATTGCGATCATCACCGTACAGGTGTTCCAACGAGTTGCACGCCCGTAATAGCGCGCGTCCCCCCGTAAACTCGACACGGACAGCCGTCAACTTGAGACGGCAGGCGCGTCGCGGTGCTGCATTCGCGCTCATCGCCGATCGCGACTCGAGTGCCCCCTCTTTAGCAGTCGATTTGATCGCTCGCCACCAAAACAGCGACTCGTCGTAATCGAGTAGCAACTTCAGTTTCCTGTGAAAGATTCCGAGGTAATAATTTGCCCTCAGAACTAAGTTGTCTGGCGGTTATCGTAGGCCAAAAATAATACGCAAAAAGTTGAACCAAATACGTGCACGGTCGTCATCTCCTACAAGCAGTATCAGTCCTCTATGCCAAAAGCCAAAGTCAATTGGATGTCCGCTTCTCCTCCTCTGCTGCCGTGATGTCAGGAACTTTCCAACTTTGGCCGTCCACACGGACAGCTCCGAGACATCCACACGGATGGCTCCGAGTCATCCACACGGACAGCGAGACACCGATCCATTTAATCCAGGCTTCAGACTTGCTTGTTCTCCCTGTACAACTGTCCGTTTTCATATGCCCCAGTGTCTCATTCAGCTATCGACGTTACCTATTGCCCTATCACCCTCCTCTTACAAACTCCTCGTTACAATGACAAATAATTCCATGATCTCAAAGTCGAATGCTTTATTTAGCGTAGAGCGTCTGGAAGATGCCGTCGGCTTTCGACGCCGTCATAACCCCCACGTTGCATGTGGTGTCTCCTCGTCTCTGCAAATCGGAGAGTGACTCCCTCACCTCACCCAGTTTTCAATGAAGCGTCGCCGCTCATCTTCTCGACTTCTCTTCCCGCAAGGTCGCGGGTGCCGTGAAGCCGACTCGAGCTGCGAGAGCGAGGCGGATCGGTGCAGCGAGGACGAGATGAGCACGGACAGCGCGTCACCGCGCGCGGACCCGGCAGGCCTTGATCGCGATGGGTGCAGTCCGCCGCTGCACGGGGGCCGGGCCCCCTGCTCCCGCAGCCCCAGTTCCCCTACGGGAGGCGCCTCAGGCACCGAGCACCTCTTGCCAGCCAAGTCACACCTCCACCATCAGCAACACCATCAGCAGCAGCCGCAACAACAACATCAGCAGCAGCAACAGCAGAGGAGGCGGCGGACGCACGGCGTTCACGAGCGAGCAGCTGCTGGAGCTCGAGAAGGAGTTCCTGAGCAAGAAGTACCTCTCCCTGTCCGAGCGCTCGCAGATCGCGGCGGCGCTGCGTCTCAGCGAGGTGCAGGTGAAGATTTGGTTCCAGAACCGGCGCGCCAAGTGGAAGCGCGTCAAGGCGGGCAACGGCGCGTCCCGGAGCGGGGAGCCGACGCGAAACCCCAAGATCGTGGTGCCTATCCCCATCCACGTGAACCGATTCGCAGGCAGGGGACCTCAACAACAGCAGCAGCAGGACACACTGACTGTCGAGCAAACGAGCAGGACAGCCGCTCCATAGGCTTTTTTTGTTTAATATAGAGAATGAGTTCTTACTTTGGTCTTTAAATGCACAAACTGTGATAGAAAGTGTTAGTGTATATATATGTATTATTGACCTCGTGGCGTCGTTGGCAAGATTTACACGACTGAACAGCCCCTCGTATGTAAAATGTATGTGTGTGTGTGAAAGAACTGGGGAGCGGTAGTGTAGCGGTTAGCGTGCTGCGCTATGAACCTGGCGACCCGGGTTCGATTCCCGCTCACGGCTAACACCAGTGACGATTATCTGAACCGGTCCTGGGCCTCCCCTAGGTCGACTCAGCCTTAAATGAGTACCTGGTGCGGTGTGTAAACATCGGCACTGGGGAGACAAAGGCGGTCGGGCGTGGTGCTGGCCACCCACCCCCTCGTTCGTGTACCGTTCCGGCCTTCATAGGTGCTCGCTAACAGCACTTGCCCCTACAGTCTGTTAAGGCTATACGGGGGATCTTTGTCTTTGTGAAAGAACTGCAAGTGAAGTGAACTGATGAACCTTGCCGGTGCGAACCGACCACGAAAATCACGACCCCGCTCCCACACGCGTTGCTCCTGTGATTGCGCGCTCGTGTTCGGAATGAGAGTTGCCGTACGGGAAGTATCATGCACCGCGCACGCTCAGTGATCGTCCCTGTGTGTTAAGTACGCGATTGACACGTTTCTATGCATACAGAGAAAACACCCCATGCACACTTCGTTTATTTTGGGTTAGATCATGTTTTGTTTTACGATAAACCTCCACCATTCGATAAAGCCTTTATCAAATAAAGTTGTCGCGTGGCCAAACATGCCGCCAAATTATTTGGATTTTTACCAAAGCGTATAGTGTTTAAAAGCAAGCAATTTTTGGACACTTGTGTACGTTTCGCTGGACATTACATCCAGCATAATCAGGTGTTAACAAAAACTCAGCTCTATACAATTAGCGAAACACCTATTCCGTAAAATTACTCCAACAAAAGGTGGGATCACGACGGGGCTACGCTTTGGGCAACGGGCAGCAGTGTGGCAAAAATCACTTGTTGTGCTGTACTATGCTCCTACGTCGATGCGCTCCACAGCCTTCGCCATCCTCGGCTGACTGTGGGTCAAGCAACTCCCACGACTCGCAGCGGCTTGGCGCACATCTAGCGGTGGATTTGCAACAAGGGGCGCTGTTACGCGCGCACCGCGTAATCGGCTCCAGCAAGATATCCCCCCCCCACCCCCGCTCTGCTGAGCGTTGCCTTCACCGAGCTATTTTTATTTAATTGGCCCAGATCTAAGGGGCAGGGTGTTTGATGTCCGAACGAATGCGAAAGCTCTCGGCTTCGTGTTAATGATGGACCCGTGTCCCCGAGATTAATTAAACACGTGCACTCAGTCGCCATCGGTCGCGGGCGTTGCGCAGCGCACACGACCGTGCAAACCTGCGTCGCGGTTTCATTTTGTACCCCCCCACCCCCCCGTACAAAGCACACGAGTTGGAGATGGGGAGGGGGGGGCACACGAGTTGGAGATGGGGAGGGGGCTCCCGCGCTCTCGGTGGTCAGCGGAATGCATGCGAAGCAACTTTTTAAAGGGTCACCGTTTTCAACGTATCGGTAATAAATTATTTAATTATACGTTCATGCGCGTCGTGTTCGTGACTCGTGCGAGCGTTGCCCATCGCCAGCGATTGTGTGATGTGGACGCGAAGCGGTGCATTCCTGTGACGATCCGTCACGGTAACCCGTCGGTTTAATGTAGGTTTTTTTTGGGTTAGATATTATTATGGATAATAATGGTCGAGAAAGGCTATACGTGTTAAGCAGATCCGTCTCTTATTGAACCACGGACCCGATATACGGAGACGTTCTGAATGTAGCCTCGCGTGAACTCGCCCAAGACAAGCTGGGAGGGGTCGCTCAGACGCTCACAAAATTGGCCGGAAGAACAAGTCGACGATTGAAGTGTCACTTTCTTCAAAATTACCTTTCAAAAATAAATCATACCTTGTCATTTTATAGCGAGACACGGTTTTTATTTGTTATTATTGCAATGTTACAACTTTTTTTCCCATCCACTGCTGGATGACCCTTCTCCCAACATTGCACTGGTTGGTGTGCGGTTTGATGGAAGGTGGTGGTGGTGGCACCTTGTACTTCTTTCAGATGGGCGCCAATCAATTTCAGGGCGCCCGGGTCCGCATTTGCATTGTGCGATTCTGCCATGGATCCATGGATCCACAGATCCACATCAATCTTAATTTTGGAGCTTTCGTGACTGCAGGAATTGTTCTTTGGTTCTTTCGGTAAAGTCACGTATAAAGATAAAATAATAAATTAAATAATAGCATACTACGACGTTTCGATTGCAACACAAGCAATCATCATCAGGTATAAAATAAATAGCAACACAAATCTAACCAGAAAACTATAGACAGACATATAAGCAGACAGATATCACAAAGATACACAGATAGAGAGAACACGTATCGGCACAAAGAGAAAGATCGTTTCTGTGACGAGGCCTTAAATATAGAGAGGGGGCGGGGGCAGAGAGAGGGAGGGGGCAGAGAAAAAAATAGCATGTTCATGAGTGGACGATGATGTGGTACGGTACACAAGCTTGAAAATTAGGAGAAAGACACACTAAAATTAAATAACCTAGCAAAATATCGAAATGTAATGTAATGCAACACAGAGAGTCGGTCAACACACAATTAACGCATAGTCTGGTTGATTACGTATTTCAAAGATTGCTAAGTTAGAATTTAAGTGTGAAAATTCCAAAGAGAGGACACAGGCAGAGAGATATCTGTCTGCTTATATGTCTGTCTATAGTTTTCTGGTTAGATTTGTGTTGCTATTTATTTTATACCTGATGATGATTGCTTGTGTTGCAATCGAAACGTCGTAGTATGCTATTATTTAATTTATTATTTTATCTTTATACGTGACTTTACCGAAAGAACCAAAGAACAGATCCACATCAGTGAAGTGGTTAAAACCCAAATGTGGAATTGCAGTACACATCACATCCCTCGCTATAGCCCACGTGACATGCATTATATATATATATATCACGTGGTTGCAAACGATTTTAAATAGAGTATACCGCGAGGTAGAAAATTATAATCATCTTTTTTTAAAATGCAGTGCAAAGGATATGGGCCTACAACAAATATATATACGCATGATACTAAACGACGCATTCCCCTTACTTTTTAGCCTGCGTGGAATCTGATATTGTTACCACCACACACCAAGAGATATATATTTTAACTAGCTTTATACTGCCCGGCTTCGCCCGGGACTTGGATTCTTGTCTTAGATTGATGCACGGCCGACGCGGAGGGTGGGGTGGGGGTAGATGTGTGACATCAGCAGGCACACTGCCGCATGCGGGTGACATCACAGATGTGACGTCACCGCTCACTTGCCGTGCAAAATATATCCATTATTGCGCCCCCCCCCCCCCAAAAAAAAAATATACAAAAGTGTATTTTTATAATTTTTGCGTGGTGTACAGTCTGGAAAGTACCCACATGGCAAATTTCAAGTTTGTTGCATGTCGGGAAGTATGCTAAACATTTTGAACAGACACATAATCACACATTTCCCTTTTGTATATATAAAGAGTGAATGAGTCGCTCCATTGATTGGGCTTTGACGCTGCAGTGCCCCCCGCCCCACCCCAGACGATTTGCACGGTTGTCTACGTAGGGTGCGAAAGAAATCCGTAATGCAGACATCTACCGTGCTCGCCCGCGAGCGTGGTTGCGTGTGAGTGCGGAGGCGAGAACCTCGGTCGATCAGCATTGGGGAGACAAAGGCGGCCGGGCGTGGTGTTGCCGACCTTTACGGGTGCTCGCGAACATCGACTTGCCCCAACAGCCTGTTCAAAGCAATACGGGAGGATCTCTCTTAACTTTTTAACTGAATACTTCCGTGACTGCAGAAATTCATATTCTTTGGTTCTTTCGGTAAAGTCACGTCGGTAGAAAATAATAAAATAAAAAATAAAAAAATAAAAAAATAAAAAAATCTAAAACAAAAACTCACGACGTTTCGATCGCAACACAAGCGGTCGTCATCAGGCGGTGAAACAAAACACCGTCGTGGTTTTTATGAATTTTTATATTTTTAATTTTATTCTTTTCTATCTACGTGACTTTACCGAACGAACCAAAGAAGAGGATCTTTCTTCTTGAAGCGGCGGCGGCGTGGTTGGCGGCGCTACCGCGCGCTCCGAACCGCGTGAAACCGCGCTCCATTCCTCGGCCACGGCTAACGTCAGAGGCCGAGTTCTTTTCGAACAAATCCCTGGGATTCATCTTCTTCTTGGTTCTTTTGGGGCTTCCCCAAAGTGGGACTCGGCATTAAAGGCGAAGCTTTTGTGTGACGTGTAAACACCGGCAATTGGGGGGGAGGAGGGGGGTGCCGGTTAAGATAAAGGCGGTTCCGCGTGGTTCTGACCGCCGTGACCCCCCCTCAAGCGCGCCTTCATTGCAGCACTCGCCCCAACAGTCTACACGGGGGGGGGGGGGGTGTTTGTGTATCTTCCTGTGTACGAGTCTCGGTGAGCGTGTGTGCAAGGGACGGGGGGGGGGATACGTAAACGTGCGTGTGTGTGTGTGTGCGCGCATTCCGAGCAATCGGCGAGGTGTCACCATCCATCACCATTTACCATCATCACCAAATTGACGAATAATAATCATCTGTCATTAGCTCGTCACGCTCGCGTCGTTTAGCGCGGCTCGGCGATTAACATCAGCTGTGAGGAGGGGCAGGGAGAGGCGAGGGGGAGGGGAGGTCGAAGAGGGAGGGAGGTGGGGAGTGGGGGAAGGGAAGTGGGGGGGAGGGAGGTGGGGAGTGGGGGGGAGGGAGTGGGGGGAAGGGAGGTGGGGGGGTGGGGGGGAGGGAAGTGGGGGGGAGGGAGTTGGGGGGTGGGAGGTGGGGAGTGGGGGGGAGGTGTGAAGTGGGGGGGAGGTGTGGAGTGGGGGGGGGGGGGAGTTGGGGGGTGGGAGGTGGGGAGTGGGGGGAGGGAGGTGGGGAGTGGGGGGGGAGGGAGGTAGGGACTAGGGGGGAGGGACTGGGGGGGAGGGAGTGGGGAAGAGGAAAGTGGAAAGTGGTGGGGTGAGAGGTGGGGAGTGGAGGGGTGGGAGGTGGGGAGGTGGGGAGTGGGGGAGGTGGGAGTGGGGGAGGTGGGAGTGGGGGAGGTGGGAGTGGGGAGGTGGGGAGTGGAGGGGTGGGAGGTGGGGAGGTGGGGAGTGGGGGAGGTGGGAGTGGGGGAGGTGGGAGTGGGGGAGGTGGGAGTGGGGGAGGTGGGAGGTGGGGAGGTGGGGAGTGGAGGGGTGGGAGGTGGGGAGGTGGGGAGTGGGGGAGGTGGGAGTGGGGGAGGTGGGAGTGGGGGAGGTGGGCGTGGGGGAGGTGGGGAGTGGAAGAGGTGGGGGAGTGGGGGGGAGGGAGGTGGGGGGGGGTGGGAGGTGGGGAGTGGGGGGAGGGAGGTGGGGAGTGGGGGGGGAGGTAGGGACTAGGGGGGAGGGACTGGGGGGGAGGGAAGTGGTGACGAGGAAAGTGGAAAGTGGGGGGTGAGAGGTGGGGAGGTGGATGGGTGGGAGGGGGGAGGTGGGGAGTGGGGAGGTGGGAGTGGGGGAGGTGGGGAGTGGAAGAGGTGGGGAGTGGGGGGGAGGGAGGGGTGGGGGGGGGTGGGAGGTGGGGAGTGGGGGGAGGGAGGGGGGAGTGGGGGGGGAGGTAGGGACTAGGGGGGAGGGATGGGGGGGAGGGAGTGGTGACGAGGAAAGTGGAAAGTGGTGGGGTGAGAGGGGGGAGTGGATGGGGGGAGGTGGGGAGGTGGGGAGTGGGGGAGGTGGGAGTGGGGGAGGTGGGAATGGGGGAGGTGGAATGGGGAGGTGGGGAGTGGAGGAGGTGGGGAGTGGGGGGGGGAGGGAGGTGGGGAGTGGGGGGAGGGAGGTGGGGAGTGGGGGGAGGGAGGTAGGGACTAGGGGGGAGGGGACTGGGGGGGAGGGAGTGGGGGGGAGGAAAGTGGAAAGTGGTGGGGTGAGAGGTGGGGAGTGGAGGGGGGGAGTGGGGGAGGTGGGAGTGGGGGAGGTGGGGAGTGGGGGAGGTGGGGAGTGGGGGAGGTGGGAGTGGGGGAGGGGAGTGGGGGAGGTGGGAGTGGGGAGGTGGGAGTGGGGAGGTGGGTAGTGGAGGGGTGGGAGGTGGGGAGGTGGGGAGTGGGGGAGGTGGGAGTGGGGGAGGTGGGAGTGGGGGAGGTGGGAGGTGGGGAGGTGGGGAGTGGAGGGTGGGAGGTGGGGAGGTGGGGAGGTGGGGAGTGGGGGAGGTGGAGTGGGGGAGGTGGGAGTGGGGGAGGTGGGGAGTGGAAGAGGTGGGGAGTGGGGGGGAGGGAGGTGGGGGGGGGTGGGAGGTGGGGAGT